TAACTAAAATATATCGTTTAAGGCAATTTACATTCTGAGAATTAGAGCTAGAAACTAAGTTGTTTCCAGCAAAGAATGAAAAGGCACTGAATAAAAAAATACGTGTGTGTACACGTAAAATTTTGATGTAATTTACCAACATGCCATTCAGCGGAGTTTCCGCAGGTACAGCGAGCGGTTTAATATTGATAGAACATTCAGGAAAGTTGCTTGCATACATAAAATATACCAAACTCAAACAGTATAGAGCCACAGTATGAAATTTCATTGATTAAGGCAAGTTTTTTATATTCCTGCATTATCTTTATAATTTTCCGCTCTCACTTTAGTAACGAGAAAACGATGGTAACTGCCATTTGCTTTTTATTATTTAAGAGGGTAGCGAGAGGGAGTGTCAGACTCCTGCTGACTTATGCCCTGCGTGGGCTGAGCACCGCCGTGTCCTCAGGGAAGTGATCGGCGGCGGTGACCTCTCGCGCCCGGCCTTTGTCGAGGCCATGGTACGAAGCGAGAGGAACTGGGACGCCGTCTCCTCCTTCTGTGAAGCAGTTATGCTCGCAAAGAGGGGCCTCAGCCGCCGCAACAGGCGACACTACGGGCGTCGGAGATCAAGGGACGATCTCCGGCCACCGTAAGCGCGGGTCTGCGGTCGGCGAGTAAGGGCAGCTCGCCGCCCGAACAGAACCAAACCCGAGCGTACGGCGCGTAGCGTTCCGCCGCCTCAAAGAGCCAATAGACCACCACAGACGGGGTCCTTTAGGGCTGATGTTCAGCCGGGGTTGCGACCTCGGCCCAGAGCAGGAGAAGGAACGGGGGGTTTTTAGTCAGTAAGCCCTGGGCGGGAGAAGTCATTTGATGACTTTCCCCTCACAAAAATAAAACTGCTGACTAAAAACCACGTATCTTCTTATCATCAGCCTATAGTTGTCCTAGTGCTGGGTCTCTTTTTCATCTCTTCCCGCGGAAGAGCAATTACAAACTAGTAATTTGCGATCATAAATCCAAATTCTCTCGCTGGTAACATTTCAACAAAAGAATTCAGAAACAATCAACAAAACCTGAAATATTACCAAAAATATTTTAAACAACCTACCGTTAAAATAATTGTCACAATTGGTCTGTAGCTTATGAGCGAGTAGCGTCATAGACCAATAAATAAATCAATACAATGAGATCAGTTCTGACTATTTAACGTGTATGGCTCCAAGGCCGAATGAATTTGGTATCAATTTAGACGCGCGCTCAAGGAATTTATTCACAGCAACAATATGTAATATTCTTTAAAACCTTACATCTTGTAGATGTATAGTAATATTCCTGCGAAAAGTCAATTCAAGAAAAAATGGTGGTGAATAAATTGATCGAAATAGAGTTCCAAACCATGGAGTTTCTTATTCGTACTTCTCCATTAGAACCTACACTTTGGAGCGAGCTTCACTAGAGGACAGACCGACTGTCTCTTACAGACCTGATTATAAACCTGGCGTGAAAATTAAGGTGACATATATAGAGACTTATCATGGTGTAGTTGTGGACAGTGTGAGCCTGTGTGGGCTGTTGATCAGGATGTTCTAAAAGTCCTATGTGACTGTGATAATCTAGTTTTTTCTAGATCACACTCAAAAATCCAAAGAATGCTAAGCAATTAATATTTGTGTACTGAAAAAACAGTTAGTCTATTTATTGTTGTCTGGCAATGTTCCGGTGTTAGAACATTCGTTTTATTTTCGATAGATTTTGGCTAAGATCTGTGTAAGTCGGAAACATTTTGAAAGCACGCACAGTTGTTGGCACAGTGAGTGAGTTATCACTTTCGGAGTTTCGAAAAATTCAAGCGCTAGATCGGTTTAATGGACAAACGATCGAGCATACTGATCAATGGTAAGAAATCACCAGTGCCTCCGATCATATCTACACTTCTATACTAATATTATAAAGCTAAAGAGTTTGTTTGAACGCGCTAATCGTAGGAACTAACTACTGGTTCGAATTGTTTTTTGCGGAATAGATTATTTTCCGAGGAAGGCTTTAGGCTATGATGTATAGCCTAAAGCCTTCCTCGGAAAATAATCTTAATCGCTATGATCTGTAGGAGCCGAGCAGAAATTAAAACCGCGCGGGAGTAGTTATTATTCTAATAATATTTGATCGAAGCGGCGCCTATAGACAAACGCAACCCCGAAGTAGTTATTTGTTTTTTTTTATTTTGCCATGTAATAATTAAGTATGCATAGTATTTAAGTCACTGCATGTGCAGTGTACATCAAAATTAGTTTTACTGTATTTTGCATACCTAACCTAATGGTAAAATGTGCTGCGCTAAAATTATATTTGAGCAACACCTTATTTTATCCACATTACTCGCAAATAAACGTTTCTTTCTTTTTTTCTTAGTAATACTTTGCAGACCTTGAAAAGAGTACTTTCTAGTTCAGTCGTTTCGACAGGCTTTAATTTTTTTGCCCCATACTAGGATTTTCTCCTGTGTAGTAGGTTCGTTTACAAACATTCAATTGCACAAACACATGAAACCCAGACCCGAAAACAGTTTGTGGATTATACAGTGTTGTTCCGTGCGAGAATCGAGCCAAACACGTTGCACGGCAGCCAGTTGTAGCCAGACTAACAAATTCACGTAAAATTGTTTTAAAATAAAAAACATCTCCTAGCATCCTCTTCCTATGTTTATGGATAAAGTAATTAAAAAACAGGCAAGCATTCGCCTCCGCATGGAACGTCGATCTCGATGGTCGACTCCCTAAATAATTAAGTAAAACAGAATACCCTAAGGAGTTTATTGTTCACAAGGTGTTAATTAACAGGGCGTTGTGTTCGTGGTAGTCGTTTATTAATAAAAGCAGGTGGTGACATACCTTGATATCACACATTATCGGAATCTACGTCAATATTAGATGGCTAATTAATAACGGTAATTGGGATTCTGTTATGTATTAGGCGATTAAGTTATGTGATTAATTAATAATATCCTTTGTAACTGTGAACAGCGAACTTTTAAGAAGGCATCTCAGAAGTTCTTTTTTTTCTCAAGTCAGAATTAAATTGACTAATCAACCCACAGGTATATTACTTTAAATCAGATGCGAGTTTGTTGTTTAGGATTTTTTGAGTTCATATCCACAGAAATTGCCTAAAATAAAAATCATATCACGACTTTCCATTGAACAAAATGAAGTCTCATAAGTTACCAAGCTACTTACTAAGAGAATGTTAAATAATTCAATCTATTATTTTTCATATCTGTATATTTATTACTTATAAGTACATCAGATAAATTACTTTTATAGTACTATGTTGTTATAGACAGGCAACTACTTATGTATCGCAGTGTGAAGGAGGTTACGGGAGGGCCAATTTTTCCTCACCCCAAATCCCTACACAACACCTAAATCTCTGAAACCCTAACAAAACCCACAACAAACTTGAAACTAATCTGTTGTAGTGGGTGTCCATGGGCAGTGGTGATTGCTTAAAATCAGGTAATCCAGTTTTACCATCAGGTAATCCATCTGTATACATGTGCACCTGACAAAAATATGTTATACCAACCTATTAGTAAGCATACTGGTATGCAGACTCCATAGTAGGTACCACAGATAACTATTCCCTGTCAATGAACTTGAATGACTCATTCATAACGCAACTAAAGTTAATTGTCATAGGGGTCCAACGGCAGTTGATAACTGCATTCATGTATTATTAAAATGATAAAAAAGAGGTGATAGAGCAAGGAGATTAGTTTATAAACATAAAGTTGTGTGCGTGTGTGTCAAGCATTTAGACACACCAGCTTGATTATTATTGACTAGTTATCATTCAAGACAAAAAGAAATAAGACTATAGTCTATTGGTTTCGGTAAGTAACTAAATGAAAACATAAATGGCATTTTTTCTTCAAAAAATTGGCTAAATTAATGTCAGCTAATAAACTCTATATTACAACTTCTTTAATATAAAAAGACATACCAAGATTGTTTACTTTGTTTTAGTTAACCACCATAACCAATAGACCATAGCTAGTTGCAATTATTTGTCTATTAGTGTCTTTCTTATGTAAACATTTTAAACAAATAGAAAGAGAGAAGACTGATAAAAAACTGAATTTTTGATTTAACTTTTTTGTTTTCTAATCAAACATTAAATTTAGTATTAAATTTATACACAATTAAGTAAATAAAATCAAGATTTGTAGTTCTAGGAATATCTGAAATCTTATATATATTTTCTTAAAAAAAATTATGCAATTAATAAAACATTTATTATTAAAATGATTTTAACATATTATGGATAATGTGAATTCCATAAATAAGCAAGTATATAAATACAACATTTGGTGTAAAAATATATATTATTCATGACTTTTAATGTTTTAAAATGTAGGTCATTGTTGATATATGCAAATATTATAATATTACTTTAACAAAAATTATTTTGGTACACATAAAATTACTTTTTTTATCAGTGTGATTCACTAAAATGTAGAGAAAGTATGTCAACACTAAATTACTGACTTTTTAATTTATTCAAATTGCACTAAAGCTGTTTTTTTTTTTTGGAGTTTATGGCCTGGATACGAGTCCTTTAAGCCAAGCACTAAAGCTGTAATTAACTTGTGTACAGATAATAAAACATACATTTGTATTGTTTTAAATTTCTTTACATACATGACATACATATTTAATTTGATGTTCATACTGATAAATTAATGTTTCTTTACAGTTGTGTGTTATAAAAAGCTATTTGTGACTACAATAAGAGTCTGATAAGAATTGAAATATTGCGTAACTTATTTTTATTAGAATCAGAATTAAGTTTCCAACACAAATTCCTATACTTTTTTTTTACTCAAAGGTTTATTTCGTATTCAGCCTGTTGCTGTTTATACCTGATAGTTTTTCGCGCCACATAAGTGTGCGTATCAATACGTGAGTAGAATAATTAATTGTGTAGCTATACCAAAGTTATGAGGTATTTTTACTTACTCTCCTTTTCGTGGTCGAAACCCACAATAACGAAGTAGTCGACGAGCCTGGACATTTCACTCCTACGGCAACATTCCAACACAAATACAACAAATACACTTTGTAATTGGATTACACGAATTTACACTCATTTTAAACACAAAGCTTTTCGTTTACACATTTTTGTTACACGTAACTGCTCAACGACAGATTCGTACACACAACGCGTAGGATTCGCACACCATACACTTCACGGAATGTAAACAACACTTTCATTTATCGGGAGCTAAAGAATTTTTAGCTTCAATTACGAGAAAGATTATAGATTGTCCAGCCGAAGAGGTTATACAGTAATCTTTACGGTATTATCGGTTTTCAACAAAACTTTATCGCAAATCACTTCATCTACTTTAGGACACAAAGTTCATGCAACAATTAACGTTCTAATTTGTATATTTTCTAATAAAAATATTAATAAACGTCACTACAGCCGCGACCCACTGTTCGTCCGTCGGACATTTCTAAAAAAACTACTGACTGTAACTTGAATTCTACCGCTTCGGATTGCCATAGCTATTTCTTAAATTCTACCAATTTTGAAGGTTTTAGTTGCGACTAAGGCATGTGATTTTAAAATTATTTTGAATGGTGATTTCGAATTAAGAATAAAATAAAATAATAAGTGACTTGATGTGGTTTCAGCTCGGTAAACTTAAAAATATTCGATTCGTATTCACTCAATGGCCGATCTCTGTAATTTAAAGTTTTTCTGGTATGTTGGCGTTAGTACGGTGCAGTATCCATGAAATAAACAGACGTCACCATCACCACATTTCCAGTGCATCAAACTCACCGTCCACGTCTTAGCTCTTTAAATAATACTATTGGAGAGACCAAGAGTTACCAACCACACAGCCTCCAGCTTTGGTGATAATGAAGTAGGTATATGAAATGCTTGACTACCCACAACTCGCTCTGTTTCAAACATCCTGTTGGTTGCTGTTAACACGACCAGTGTTTAAATTTTGTCTCTAGTGCTAGTGAGGATAATATCATTTACGTATTCTAGATTTGATATTAACCGGCCTCTTGCGGATATTTCCTTTTTCGCTGTGTTTTTCGAGAACAATTCACATTATGTCTCTTTATAATAAAATAGTACCCATATTTTCAGGAGAAGGGAGACAATATACACCTCTGTATTACATTGAATCACATTACATTTAAAATCTACTCATATTTTATATTGTATTGTACCTACATATTTCTTTACCTTTTAAGCAAAGCAGTAAAAAGACAACGCCGCGGTTATATATTTACCAGCACAACACGCCAAATTTGTCTTTAACCATATTAAAATATGTATGAAACCGCACAGTTATATACATTAAACGTCTGGTAAACAGTCGAGTTAAAACAGATCAAACATGATAATTGTTCTTCTGTTGCTCTTTCGCAAATAAGAACACTTCTCAATCTATCAGTTTCTAAAATAAAAAGCTGGTATTTGATCTGCAATTGTGACATAAACTGGACCAAAAATGTTGCATTAACATTATGAGTTGATGTAAGCTTTATAAAAACCTACCAAAATGTCTAAGCCGGCAACACCCAGATCAATTAAAATCTCTTTTATCTGTGGCAAAAAGGATGTATACCCCGACTAAATAGAAAAGTAAGCAAAGCAAGAAACAATACTCCTTTCATACTACTCTATCTTGCGCCAAGTTGGCCAAGTTGATACACGATGACATTATTGACAGTTTTGCTAAAACTCCATAATTTGTTCGTATTGTCAATACTGATAACGCAAACAATGTTTCAAAATATTATTGATGTTTGATTATTTCATGAGATTATTAACCTTTTAACCGTAAATTTCCGTCTACCGTAGTTAAAACAATGTCGGATGCGTCAAATCAACAAATACCAGGATTAAAACAAAAGAAAGTGTTTAAAATTATAGTGTTAGGTGATTCAGGTGTTGGAAAAACGTGTCTTACTTATCGGTTTTGCGAAGGACAATTTTTAGATAAATCTGAGGCCACAATCGGTGTTGATTTCAGAGAAAGAAATATAAAAATTGGCGGTGAAGATATAAAGGTAAATAGTAACATTTTAAATGCTTGCTTGCTTGTTTCTTTGCGATCGTTAGTACATAATTTATTTCTGCTTCATACAATTATTTTTTACGCGTACTTTAAAGCTCTGTAGTCTATTTACTTTGTCATATCACTAACAATAAAATATAGCAGGAAGATACGGATAGGTTTGCTTATTCACCCCAATGAATGGTAGTTCAACCAGTTTTAATTTTTTCCACGTCATTTAACTGTGGCATATGTTTCGATTTTCATGAAGAAAGTCGAGGTAAGTCTACAATCTGTCCTTAGTCTGATTTTCAATCGACTTTTTAAATTATTTAATTCATATAATAAGTGGTATTATTAAATTTATAAGACTGCAGGTAGCATCCACACCTTTGGTAAGAGAATGTAACATTTCATGGCTTTTAAAATTAAATTACGTTCTATATTCAAATAAAAAAGAAAAAATTTCCATGGCAATCTTACATTCATATCATTAACTGAAATTCTGAATTCAACCTTGCATACCCTCAAATAAAAATGATTAGAAAATACTATTTTATGTAACTAGCAAAATTCAAAGAGGTATCTGGTACAAGCACTAGATAACGAAATGTTTTAGAGATAAAAATATGTTACTCATTTTATCTGTCACATAGCATATTAATATCACTTTGACTTTATTCTCCAATTATTAAAAAAAACTGCTAACATTATTAAAAATCATTCATAAATTTATTTATTACAATCTACAAAGTTGGATAAAACTTTCAATTGTGTTAATTTGAGAAACAATAGAAAAAATGATAGGATTATAGGTTAGCAACTGCCAGAATTTGCTTGGGATTTGATGAAAAAAAATACAATGCACAACACAGACTTATTCAAATATAAGTCTGCAGTGTATAAAATGATACTTATTTTTGCTATTAAAAACAATAAATTATAATAACAGACTCTTAGAATATTTGTTTAACAAATTGAGGAAAGCCTGTCTCTTCTTACTGCCTTCACCAATGACTTGCTATATGTTAGCAAAATTAACATCATAATGTATTTCAGCTCCAGCTATGGGACACGGCTGGGCAAGAACGATTCCGCAAGTCCATGGTGCAGCATTACTACAGAAATGTCCATGCTGTTGTCATAGTTTATGATGTCACAAAACCGGAGACTTTTCATGTGGGTAATTTGGAACTAAAAATAACCACAATGTTTTTATTTATAAATATAACTAGCTTTTGCTGGTGGATTCATGTAGGATACCTTTCGAAAAGTAGCTTATGTTTTTCAGAGTAATCTTATTCCATCCAGCAGTTTTTACATAAAAGATTAACAAACATCACACATTAGGAGGATGTTCTTTAGGAATTTAAGGAAAGAGATGAAAATGAGATAGTTGCTTGTCTAAAAGCAGTTTAAGGAATGCCCAATGCATTAATTAAAGGAAGAGAAATCATCAAATGACTTCTCTCACCCAGGGCAAAGCGGGATAAGGTTTCCTACTCCCGGCTGAGGCTGTGATACCTTATTGTGCTTGACCAGCAACCTCAGATCCACATCTCTTCTGTAGGGCCCCCATTTGTGGTGATCTAATGGCTCTTTGTTGCGCGCTCGGAACGCTACGGGCCGTACTTTCGGGTCAGGTTCTGGTCGGATGGCGATCTACCCTTGATCGTGGTTCGTTTATTGAAAAAAAAAAACTAATAATAAAAGCAGTATTTTTTATAGTATACAATTCAATATAAATAACGAAAGTGAATCTTTTCTGTCAAACTTATCTTATTTTCTTCTTAATTCCAGTCGATAGCGAGTTGGATGCAAGAGGTGGAGTCCCATGGGTTGATGCGTGCTCCGAGAGTGCTAGTGGGTAACAAATGTGACTGTGGCACACCAGAGTCCCGGCTAGCGACTACATACGCACAACGGCTAGCTGACAAGTATGGGATGCCTGTAAGTATTCCCTTAAATTGACTGTCTAGGAGGGCCTCAAGGGGAAGTATATTTTTGATTATGATAGGACGCAAAAAAAGCAGACCTATTACCTGATGGTAAGCAATCGGCGCCGCCCAGAGACATCCGCAACACTAAAAAGTTTCGTGTGCGTTTTGGGCAAAAGGATTTCGGTGATTTATCGACATTGGGCCATAAGTATCCTCACAAATACAACGCTGTGGTTGTTTCACGCAGGTATTCTGTAAGGCCGACCCATTCGAGCCGAAGCATGGTACGCCCACACTTTTTCCATCTATCTACAAAAGCATTATGACGTCACATGTTGCGATGTCATACATAATGTGAACAAAACAATTCAATAAAAGTATTGAATTTGACTAGTTGGACCGGATTATCTATCTATCAATGATTCATCAAGGTTGTCTGGTGAACTGAGTGGACTAATTAGTCATATTAATCACATAGTTATGTTAATTACATTTGAGAATTGTTGTGGAATTAAAGCTGGTTAACATGTAAACAATTTATCATAACATAGTAAATAAATGATATGCCGAATGTCCACAGATTATATTCGATATCTTACTTTTGCGAAGGACCTTTAACTGGTTATTATAGGTGGCGGGACAGTCGCAAATCGGACTTAACATTTTTCCCGTTGGCTAGCTGGGGTAGTAGATAGTATTTTATGAGCCAACGAAAAGTGTTTTTTTTTTTATGTAATAGGTCGGCAAACGAGCAGACGGATTACCTGATGGTAAGCAATCAGCGCCGCCCATGGACACTCGCAACGGAGGAGTTACGAGTGCGTTGCCGACATTTTAGGGATTGAGGAGGGATTGGGGAAGGGGAAGGATTGGGCCTCCGGTAACCTCACTCACACGGCGAAACACAACCCAGTGGTTATTTCACGCCGGTTTTCTGTGAGGCCGTGGTATCACTCCGGTCGAGCCTACCCATTCGTGCCGAAGCATGGCTCTCCCACACTTTTGTTTCTTTGTTTTAAATTTGTTTTTTTATCTTATTTCCAGTTATTTGAAACGTCAGCGCTACTGGACTCGGAGTGCGACAATGTGGAGTCTATATTTATGACGTTGGCGCACAAACTATACTCCAAGCAGCCGCTAAGGGTCGTCAGTGTTGAGGTAAGACCTAGGCCGTAACTGTTAATGCTGTATTGTACCTGATTTACAAATGTACCGTGAATGTAAATTACCATTACGATTTTCACAAAGATATCTCGGATGCCGCAAATTTTAACCACTCATTGTCAGTGCCACGACTCGCCCAGAGAGTCCACATATAACATCACATATGTATACCTATTCCACTGAGGATTAAAAAACTTGACTATACTTTACGATTTATGAGTGGGAGAGCTGTGCTTAAGTGTGGGAGAGCCGTGCTTAAGTGTGGGAAAACCATGTTTCGGCACGAATGAGTCGGCTCGATCGGACTTACAGAAAACCGGCGTGAAACCACAACCACAGCGTTCTGTTTCGCCTTGTGACTGAGGTTACCAGAGGCCCAATCCTTTTCCTCCCCTAATTCCAAAATCTCCAAATCCCTAATTCTAATAAGGTTGGTGACGCACTTGTAACTCCGCCGTAGTTGCGAGTGTCCATGGGCGGAGCTAATTGCTTACCATCAGACAATTCGCCTGCTCGTTTGCCTTCCTATAGCATAAAAATGATACTATTACTATATTATGTTATTTGCAAAATTCATAATAATAATAATTTCTATAATGCAAATTATTCTAATTTACAGGGAGAACATGGCCCAGGTGTTGTGAATCTACAACGGCAGAAACGAGCGACGAGTTCCAACGACAGCTGTCTATGTAGCTAGACTCAAATGGCCGTACTAAATACGTAATGTACACAGAATACCAAAATACTCGAATACTACCAAAAGTCTACTGCAAATACGTACGTTCTTAATTTAAATATTTATTTGAGTTTTTGCGTAATAGAGGTACAAATATTTAAAGTCAAAGACAAAATCATTTATTTCAATTAGGCTAGTCTGTCGGTCAGCCCTCTTAGTGAAGCTATTTGCTCGTTCCAAAGTGTAGATTCCGATGGAGAAGAACGAGCAAGAAACTCCATGGTTACTCTGTGTAAATCAGCTTCACATAAAGATTTTTTGGTACATTATTAAGTTGTTTTAAACTTTTACATATTCTTTATTTCGTATTATCGTATTCATCATCAGCCTATAAGTGCCCACTGTTGAGCAAGTCTCTTCTCATACTGAGAAAGTTTGAGCATTAATCACCAAGCTCGCTTAAGGCGGTTTGACGATTTGAAACTTATAATTAAACATTGGCTGTCGTGGTGGCCCGAAGGTTAAGGCTTCTCATGCATAAGAGTGTTGATCAGATAATCCGTATGCCCGTTTGCCTACCACATAAAAAGTTTACTTTTATCAGAAGCCGTGGGCGAAAGCTAGTTAAATAGTATTTAAATCTTATAAAAAAGTTTCGGGTATTTTAGTGTTACTGTGCTTTGTTAATATTCCAAACTATTCCGTCTGACATCCATGACCAATGTTGCCAATCTAATATTTTACCCGTAACATAGTGTTGCCAGAGATGAATATGTAATATGTTTTGTTGGAAAATTTTAAAGTTTACTATGATAATTACATCTGTTGCATTTTAAAGGAAAGACAGTTTAGTTTTTAATGTTATAGTTTTTTTAATTGGCAATATTTTCAGACACCATGCAACTAGGTACTGTTAAATTTGTTCAAATTAATAATCAATCACTTGTCCACTGCGTGGCTTTTTTACGGGTTAGCTCTTTATTTATTTGTTTTTTTTAATAATATTCAGTCCGTGCCATTCTTGGTGAGCGCTCTGAATATAGTCGCGAGTTACGTACGTTACGTATTGCCCACTCGACTATACCATGCGTAAGTTCGGACTCGCGACTATATTCAGGGCGGCCACAAAGTTTGGCGAGAGCTGTACAGTGCGTTTTAAAAGAGTTCTAGGCTTTTGATCAAACTTCAGAAACGCTCTCTAAAAACCTATATTATTGAACCCAGTCTGATGTCTTAATAGCATTTTATTTAGGGCTTATTTTTCAATGGTTGGATAAAGTATCTGGTGAATAATAATGAAGCTGGTCGCGTCAGAATGTTTGTATAAGACAGTGACGGCAACAATTTTATTACTCAGATAACATTTATCTGACTATTGAAAACATCTGCCCTTAGTGTAATACAAATATTATAACTATTAGTTGATTTTTATCATTAATTCTAATGTGCCAGCCAGTCGTATCTATTTCATGAAAAATATACTTTATTTTGTTTGATTTAGAGTCTTGACACCTTATATGCAAATATACACAATAAAGAAAAATAATTAATTTGTCTGGTACAAATAAATTAACTTCCTTTTTTCTTACATACCGATAATTTTTCGTAACCTCAAAGATTAGATGGTTGTGTTGTATCCATTTAAAATAATAATTACCCTATCAATTGTAATATAGAACTTACCCGCGTGGACTTACTTGGGAAAGCCATGCTTCAGCACTAATGGGTCAGCTCGACCGATATATATATACTAATGGGTCTCACGGTCTTACAAAACACCGGCGTGAAGCAACCACAGCGTTGTGTATCGCCGTGTGAGTGAGGTAAATATCCGCAGACCCTTATTTCTAAAAAGCCACCAACGCAGTCGTAACTCCTTTGGTGTTGCGGGTGTCCATGGGCAGCGTCCATTGCTTACCATCGGGTAATTCGTTTGTCGACTTATGCCATAAAATAACATGAGTGGCGTCGCGCGGCCAATTACCGTCTTTTTCATCAATAAGGGGATGGGTGTTAATTTTTTGGCAGCTACATTGATATTTTACTAGATTAGCGCTATCTGGTGGCCAAAAACGGCAACTCGCATTGAAATTCAACGCTCCAGTAAATAGTTTGCTTATAAAAAGAAGGTAGGCGAGCTCCATCGTAGGTAGTACCAACACTTTCCACCAGGCGTGATAGCGACCAAATTAACTCTCCATTAACTCAATAAAAAAACAATTAAACCCTTTCCTGAATAGTTCACTTGAGTAAGCTGTGTATTTTAATTAACTGTGTCTCTCAAGTTATTAATTGTCATTAGAAAAATATGTTTTTACATAAACATTCCATATTAACAAATAATTGTGCCAATATGGGTAATTTATTGCAATAATATTTAAGAAACTTCCTAATTGTATGTGTATTTAAATATAATAAATTATTAGATTATTTAACAGTATTCTATCTTCCATATATTGTCGTCTAAATAAATATCAATATTTTTATCAAATTATTTATTAAAGAATCGTGATTTTTAAGGTCAGGTTATACAAAATTAGTCGGGGTTGCGGGTCAAGCGCGTTAGCCATAATGTACCGCGGCTTCGGCTTGGGACAGGAGAAGGGATGGTGTTTTAGTCAGTAAGAGTGTGACACCGCTCCTGCCCCGTCCAGGGCAAGAGTAATCATTTTATGATTATCCTCTTCAAAAACAAGGTTAATCAAAACTGATTTTAACTCGTTCAGATAAAAGTTGTATTTATAAAGTAGGTACCTACATAATATGTAGCAAAATTATCATCAAATTCATAATATTCTTAATTAAGTTTCTACAACCAAGAAAAAATTAAGAAAAAGACCATAAAGTATGCAAAACTCTGTGTTTTTATTTTCTGAACGAAATCAGCCTGACCTTAAAAGTAAAGCATGTCTTAATAACTTACTGCCGTACTCAGAGAAGTTTAATGGACACTTAATCTATTTCTTAGTAACAATTTTGTTCCGATAACATTTGTTAAAGATTATGACTTAGCCGGGGGGGCTAAGTCTTAACCAGTCCTTAACAAATGTGTGGTAAGGTACTGCGGTCCGGCTTAGAATAGGAGAAAGAATGGGGGGTTTTTAGTCAGTAACGGCCTTATTACAAAAGAAGGTTTTTCTTTAGCCTAGTTGTAAACCATAGAACCAGTTTTTGTATTTCAAATTGAAGGTAGGTGAGAATAAGATTCAAAATGCAAAACCTGACTCAATGGTTTATAATTACACTGAAGATAATTTTTGTTTTTTAATAAGAGGGTAAGAGTCTAATAATTACCCTACGCGAAGAAAGTCTTTTGATGACTTTCTTTTCACAAAATAACAGGTTTGGACAAACATCTCTGAGTACAGCGGTTAGATCTCTTCTAATATAAACATTAATAAAAACAATGTATTTCAGGCCTTATGAATAACGGAAGACCTGTTCAATTGTGAAAATATGCCAAAATAAAGTGTAATAATACAAGAATTTAAATATTTGTGTGAAATAATGATATTATTGTACCTATTGTGTAATATTTAATTTATTTTTGTATAAGTGTAGCTCTATAAGTACTAGACAGAACGTGAAATCATTGAGATATGAAATAATAAAATCGTTTTACGTTGTTATTTTGTGTTTTATTTTAGATAGTTTTTGCTATATGAATTTATCGTTCCTTTTTTTTTTCTTTTTGCACCTACCATATTCTCTCCATCACCCTTAAGTTGACTGACTGGGACTGGGAAGAATGATGCCTATGGCATTAAGTCCGCCTTTTTAATTTTATTTTGCCTAAAGAAGAAATAAATAAAGAAATGTTAAGTACGAGGTATTTTTACTTTTAATTACAACGGAACGTTACAGCGTTAAGGCCTCTGATTGGTTGTTTAAGTTGGAGCCCGCCCATCAGAGACACTGCTTGATATCGCCGAGGAAATAAGATATAATAAAACATATACAATGATAATAATCTATTTATTTAAGTGGGACAGCTTCGGCATGAATGGGCCGGCACAACCGGAGTGAACCACGGCAGAAAACCGGCGTGATGCAACACGTACGTAGTGTTGCGCCGTGTGAGTGAGGTTTTTTGTTTTTAGTGAGGGGAAAGTCATCAAATGACGGGAGGGAGTGCAGACTCTTACTGACTAAAAACCTCCCTGTCCCTTCTCTTGCTCTGGGCCGAGGTCGCGGTGCCTCATTGCGCTTACCCCGCAAACCCGACTGAACATCACCCTTATAGGGCCCGGAGGTTACCGGAGATATATCATTAAATCCCTAATAACCCACAAGAGGCCGGCAACGCACTTGTAGTACCTAACTCTTATGGTAGGTACTGCGAGTGTCCATAATTGCTTACCATCAGGTAATGTGTATGCTCGTTTACCGACCGATGACATAAAAAAATAGTTTACTCAAAACAAGAGGTAGATCCAGCACATTCTTACAAATATTAGGCTTACATAAGGAGTTAAAGGAAATCTCTTTTTCAATGGCTAAAATGATTTGGGGTAAAGTTAATACAGAAATACCTTAAAAAATAAAGGTTTTTCAATTTATATTTGTTTAGTGTTTTGTTTATTACTCATCTATATGTATTATGTGTATTACAAAAGAGAATGAGCATCCGCAGCTGAACGTGAGCCTGGGCGTGAGTCTGTACCTCAGCTTACAACGCCGTTTCCCCTCAGAAACATATACACATAATGTTAATAGTGTAATAATGTTTTGATAAAAGTATTAAATTAAAACCTTACAATATTTTCTAGAAATTGAAACCAGCTCAGTCAATTCATACTAAGTCAACTATTATTAAACACTTAGTATTATTAAAGTAGTATTAGGTACCTACTCAGAAACATCAAAAACAAAAATTATGAATTTTGATTGAAATAGGACGTTGTGAGGGCATAATTTGTTTATGTCACATATAATATTATTTAAGTACCTATTTCTTTTCAGTTAGGTATCAGAAAAAAATACAGAAAATCTAATTATTTTGAAGGTGTGATAATTTCTTTAAAAAATATCGTTTTTCAAGTTGAAATAATTACCTACTTTTTTTGACTGAGAAAACTAAGCAAACCGTTTGTAATTATAATTAAAAACCAACTACCATCTCTTTAATAAAAAATAGATAGGTACTTATGGAAAGCGATCACTAATTTCGGCAGCACATGCATCGACTCCGTGGCGCAACGGTAGCGCGTCTGACTCCAGATCAGAAGGTTGCGTGTTCAAATCACGTCGGGGTCAATGGTTTCTTTTTGCTTATTTTTTCTTTACCGTTTTCCTTTTACTAAATTTTTCATTTTATTATCAAAAA